AATCTTGACAACCTTCGATTTGAGTCCCTTCAAAACTCGGTGCTCTGTTTATGTTAGTAGCACGTGGCGCTTCACCCTTGCCAGGAGGCTGAAGCCTCGTGCTTCAACATCTCGGAACCCTTCGGCATCACATCCTTCATCAGTATGTAGGGTTTAGGGTTATGGCTTAGCTGGCTTTGCTAGCTTACAGGATCATGCAACCTTAACTTTAGCTGCTTTTTAGCTGTCGTTTACAGAAGCCCCATCTAGTCCGCTCCCGAGGAATAGACAAGGAGGGAAGCGGCCAGCTGTCAATGGAACAGCACCCTGCCTGGGGAGTCGGAGAGTTGTGTTTTGGTTCTGGGTTCAATCTGCTGCCTGAATTGGCTGGAATGTTCCGGATCATTTGGCCCTGAACCCGAAACCAAAACAGGCTTTGCTTGAAGAGCTTGTAGACGAGTTGGTTTGGGGGTCGAGTGAGGGGGTCGGGAAGGTGGCCTCCGGCTGTTCGGTCGCTGCGGGGCAACAGGGCTTAGCTCTCTGTGATTTTGGGCCCCACTTTCCTATTGAAGTATATTAGGGTATACTAGAGTATAGTATAGTAACTTATAGTCTGTTATAGTATATCAAAGTATGTTGTCGTATATGATAGTTTATTAAAGGATATAAAAGTATGTAACAGTATTATATAGTGTTATGGTATACTATAGCTTATTATTATATATTAGAGTTTGTTATGTTAAATTACAGTATGTTATAGTATGTTATAGCAAGTTATAGTACAGAGGCACGAGTCTCCCCCTTTTGTGGGTTCCAACAAGAGTCCGACGGGTGTATCATGTAACCCCTGCCGCCCTAGATCTTCTTGCTGCTCCGGTCTCTGCTGGCGTGATGATTACCCTGCACCCTAAACGCTTGCTTGCACGAAAAGGGGCGCATTGCACTTAAAAAAAAGCCCTAAACCCTGATCTGGTTTTGGGGTTTAGGGTTTAGGGTTTTAGGGTTTTAGGGTTTTAGGGTTTTAGGGTTTTAGGGTTTTAGGGTTCAGGCTTTTGGGGCCCTGAACCCTAAAACCCAAAACCCGTCACTAGAAAGGCCGCCATTGCCAAGCCAAGGGTTTAGGGTTTAGGGTTTAGGGTTTAGGGTTTAGGGTTTAGGGTTTAGGGTTTAGGGAAGCCAAGCTAGTTCCTCGAGTCCTGCACCTGGGTGCCTGAGGCTCATTGAAGGAGCGAGGAAAGATGCCGAGTGCCGAAGTCGCATTTAGGGTTTCATACAGGGGTCGGGAATATTCTAATGTTATTCCTCACGGTTCCTTAATTTAGTTGTACGTAGTAATAGTACAATACCCCAAAGCCCTATTCTAGTTCTTACGGCCCCGATGTTGGGGTTCGTCTGGGCAGTTGGGGTTCATGGTTCAGGGCAACCCGAACTCAAAGCTGAGTTTCAGCAGGCGGCTTCATCGAAGCCCTATAGGGTTTGGGTGTCGGGTTTGGGGTTTAGGGTTTAGGCTTTAGGGTTTAGGGTTTAGAGGGTTTGGGGTAGTATGGAAGCCACTTGCAAGGTTTCAGAGTCGCCTACGTGTCATGGACATCGACGAGGCCGTCTCAGTTTAGCGCTTAGGCTGTGCGAGGCTGGCTTCAGGAGTACCGTAGGAGTTTCGATTTAGGATGTGATGTTTAGCATCACCTGGCATTGAGTGCAGACGGCGGGTTGACGGATGTGTGCAGGGTCGGCAGTGTTCGGGTCATTGGGGATTAGGGTTTTGGCTTAAGCATATTATGAAAGTTTTTCTCAGCTTTTCGAGTTCGGTGATCCGGGGTTGTACGGATGCCTTGATTTGAAAACTCAGTTTGCCATGCTAACGTGCCTGTATTCCAGGACAGAAAATATCAGCAAGCATATGCGTTCAATCCATGATGAGTCGCAACCCAAATCGAGTCAGAACTTATCTATGCGAGCCCGGTTTCACAGTTTCTAAACTCATCGGATTTTTCCGCAAATTGCAACTGCATTATATCAGTTAGCATTGTTTCTCAGACGCGTAATCACTTCGTCATCGTTTCGATAGCCGTTTCATGGTTGGCACATGCCTCGCACATTTTGAACGTTTTCCTTGAGAGGTGGGCTCATGGCCCGCTCCATCTGTTTCAGACTTGCTTCAAATATTTGGTATTAAAACTCTGTATCACGCAAATGCCAATTTAGTTTTAGTTTCACTTCGATATCTTCACATTCATATTATATTTGCTTCCTATGTATCTTTGCACTGGGGTTTGTTTTCATGTTCTCTGCTAGTCGCAGGCTTGTCCGGTCATTGTTTATTTGAGGTATTCCTTTAGGCTGGTTCAGAAAATGCTGCTCTTATGCGGTTCGGAACATATACATGCCTGCTGGGTTTGTGTGCGCATGTATGTATATATATATATACATACATACACCCACACACCGAAACCAGATACACACACACACACACATATTTTTATATATTATGTATGCATGCACACGTACATACTTACATACATGCATACATACATACATACATACATACATACATACATACATACATACATACACACATACACACATACACACATAAACACATACACGCATACACACATACACATACACACACATACACTTACACTTACACATACACATACACATACACATACACCTACACATACACATACATGCATGCATGCATGCATGCATGCAGGCATACACACACACACACAAACACACACCTACGGGTAGCAGGTCAAAGCTTACGGCCTTTTTGATGCTAGGCCTTACACCCAAACTGAGCCAAGTGGATCTGCAGCAGCTCTAACATAACCTAACCTCAACCCGAACACCTTGAACCCTGAAGCCCCAAAACCTTCAACAACAAAGCTTAAACCGCAAACCCTAAAGGCCTAAACCCTGAACTGCATCAGGTACATTTGTGGCAGCTCTGACACGACGTGAGCCCTAAATCCTAAAACTCTTTAAAAAGCTCAAAACCCTCGCTGAAAAGCTAAAGCCCCTAAAGCCCTAAAGCCCCCTAAACTGACCCAGGTGGATCTGCAACAGCTCTTTGACATGATCGACACCGACGGCTCTGGAACTATCGAAGCGCCAGAGTTTATCAGGCAGGGGGGGTTCAGGGTTTAGGGTTTAGGGTTTAGGGTTTTGGGTTTAGGGTTTAGGGTTTAGGGTCACAAACCCATAAACACTCAAGCAGGAGGCCTTAACATGCAGAAGCCAAAATAATTTGTAATACCGTCTCGTACGGTTCCTTATTACAAGTAGAGTATAAGCTACCCCCCAGAACCTTATCCCAAAAGTTCAAGGCCCTGTCGTAAGGCTCAAAGACCCCTAAGCCGTGAGCCCTGAGCCGCAAAACCCTGCCACAAGCCCCAAACAACCCTGAACCCCGCCTTTTCTTTAGCCTACTCAGTTGACATCAGGAGTGCATCTTTGTGACAAGCCACAGTGTTCAAAAAACCCTAGACCCTAAACCCTAAACCCTAAACAGGCCATTGAGCCGATGGGTCCACGACTCAAAGACGGTTGCTTGGCCTCTTCGTTTCAGGGCTTCGGCGCCTTGGGAGGGTTTTAGGTTGAGAGGTTTATTGTTGTTGTCGTTATGTGTAGTATTATTTTAGTGTTCTAGTTTATACATATATATATATAT